CCTCCTGGTGCCCCCCAAGTTGTAAAACTTCCTACTGGCGCCCCCCAGTTATGGAACTCCCTCCTGGCGCCCCCCCCCCCCCAGTTGTGGAACTCCCCCCTGGTGCTCCCCCAGTTGTGGAACTCCCTCCTGGTGCCCCCCCCAGGTTGTGGAACTCCCTCCTGGTACCCCCCCCCCCCAGTTGTGGAACTCCCTCCTGGTGCCCCCCCCCAGTTGTGGAACTCCCTCCTGGTGCCTCCCCCCCAGTTTTGGAACTCCCTCCTGGTGCCCCCCCCAGTTATGGAACTCCCTCCCATTGGACATCACCAGGTGTGGAACTCCCTCCTGGTGCCCCCCCCCCCAGTTATGGAACTCCCTCCTGGTGCCCCCCCCAGGTTGTGGAACTCCCTCCTGGTGCCCCCCCCAGGTGTGGAACTCCCTCCTGGTGCCCCCCCAGGTGTGGAACTCCCTCCTGGTGCCCCCCCAGGTTATGAAACTCCCTCCTGGTCCCCCCCCCCAGGTGTGGAACTCCCTCCTGGTGCCCCCCCCAGGTGTGGAACTCCCTCCTGGTGCCCCCCCCAGGTGTGGAACTCCCTCCTGGCGCCCCCCCCAGGTGTGGAACTCCCTCCTGGTGCCCCCCCCCCAGGTGTGGAACTCCCTCCTGGCGCCCCCCCCCCCCCCCAGGCGTGGAACTCCCTCCCATTGGACATCACCAGGCGCTCCGGACAGTGTCCGATATCTTTCGTCAAGTCGGCTGTGTTCCTCTCTGGCTCTTCTTCTGCCACTCGGTTGCATCTTCGTTGTCGTTGTCATCTTCATGCACGGCGACCTCGAGACGTGGCGAAAGGCGCCTAATGAGTGCACATTAGCAGTAGTCGTCGTCCTATTGTTAGTAACGCAGGCACCAGCGTCGTTCATGGTCCGCCCGGCTGCAACAGCGGACCTTCTGCTCGCTACATTGCTTGACCATTAAGTGATTGGCTCGCCATTAATTTCTCTACTTTGCACTCCTATCGTTTTGTTGTTGGTGTTGTCGTATTGTTTGCTGTTGTAGTAACTTGCTGACACCCGCCAATACTGGACATCTGTGGGGGGGGGGGGGGGGGGGGGAGAGCTTCATAGCTCATCGGATTCCTCCTCCAGTCTAAATCAAGATTCTGATTGTGATCGCACATTTTTTTTATTGAGTGCAATTGTAAACAACAGCCGTATCAGACGTGAGCGCATCTAATCGGCATCATCATTGGTTCACTGCGGCTTAAAGACCCCTACAAGGCGCCTGGTGAAGTTACGAGAATGTCCCGAGTGGGTGACTTTCCCCGACGTGTAGAGTGAAGTGGAGCTTCTGTCCAGGGAGCACGTGTGGGGGTTGGGGGGGGTACGTCCCTTAGGTGGTGCTCACGCGCTAATACGCTCGAAATGAACGATTGACCGACGTCTCTCAATAAACAACGACAACGCCTCCATCCGAGGGCTCCCTTGAGTTGTTTGTTTACCCGAAGATGCGGACCGAGTATAAAACCCCCCAATGATCAACCACGTTGAGCTATCCCAGAGTTGGGTGGGGGGGGTGGGAGGTGCCGGCGGGGGGGGGGGGGGAAATCCTCGACGCTTTTGGAGCCGCTAAAATCCCTGCGTTAAAAATGTCTCGACCCAATGAAACACAAAACGACGACCCCATCGCCTTGCGAGACGTCGCCGTCTATTCCCGTCCCAAGAAAAAGAATAAACATTCCTGGTTTTATTTTTCCAGGCGGGAAATGATCAGACCTTCATTTTCTTTTTTGTTGTATTAATAAGCATTCCTGAAGCTCGTCGAATGTCGTGGAACCAACGCGTCCAATATAAAGTCGACATTGCAGAGGTCGCGCGTGCGGGACACGAGTGAGGCGCGTCTCGGGGGTCAAACGTGGCGCAGCTCTTGGCGCACTGCGCGCCGAGGCCCCGCCGATCTGATTCCCGGACAGGGGCTCACGGTCAGTGGCGAGCGATATGTGAACCCGTCTTGGGTCTCTCCCCTTGGTCGACTCAGCCCCAAGCGCGTAAACATCAGCCGTTCACCAACCTGGTCAAGTAACTCCGACGATAGACGTGTCATGCGGCGGCCTTCATCCAGCAGTGGATTGACGGAGCGCTGTAAATCAATCGATGAACATTATTGGAGGAATACAATTTTTATTTGCAGGTAACTAGGCTATCGTCGCTCTGCAAAGTGTCCAGGGCGGACGCACGCAGCTAAAAAAAAACACACGAAGCGAAATTATAATTTGGATACGACAATGATATGAAAATGTTTTATAGAAGGGACGATGAACTGAGGTCGAGACTAACAACAGAGTGGCAGCGAAAGGACGGAGCGCGCTCGGCAGAGAGAGGGAGAGAGAGATCATTTGTGGCACAGCTCACTTCTGAAAAATAAGCGAATGGCTCAGTGAGCTTTACCTGGTAAAAATAAAATAGTTAAGCTTAATTATTATTTGATTAATGATTTCCTCACTTTTCCAATACTTTGCACTCATATCGTGTTTTTTTGTATTATTGGTGTTGTAATTTTCTGACCGGCCCCTACTGGACGTCTGTGCAAAAGAGCTTTAGAGATCATCGGATTCCTCCAGTATAAATAAATGTTCTGATTCTGACTCTGTCCACTGTGGACCTATTGAGAGATTAAATCAGCTCGAGTGTGCAGCAGCTCGATGGATTGTTGCATCGTGAGAGATTTAGATGGCTTGGAGAGGGAGGGGGGTGTCTTCATACAGAAGTGTATAGATCATGGTTTATGGCGTTTATTTGTTTATCTTGTTTACAATATATTAACAAATAAAACCTATGGCGCGGCAATTAAGGAAACCAACGGAGAAACCGGACTCTGGTCAAGAGCGAACGAAGCTCAATCTGGAGACCAGCAGGGCCCCCAAGCCTGAGGTCAAGAGTTCAAATCCTAGCCAGGGTCAACTCGGTCCCCTCATCAATCATCCCTCCGGGGGTGGCTAAAACGAGCACCACCTTGTGAGGCTGCATCTGGAAACCTCAGGACCAGTTTCCGCGAAGAAGCTCCCCCAGCACGTGGAACGTCCGACGTTCCGTTCGTCCCACGTGACGGGAGCTTTCCGAGACGGTCGCCAAACCGATGCCGAAGCAACGCGCGGGCCGACCCGAAATGCAAAAGAAAAACAAAAAACGACCACGGCTAAGGGAGAGATGACTGGGGGAGTCGGCCCCCGCTCAGAGCGCTTGACGTGTGGGGACCAGGAGCTGTAGCATCGACCTCCCATTGCTTCGCAGAAGATCAGCGCTGTGGGGGGGGGGGGGGGGGGGGGGTAATGTGGTGTTGGGGAGGGTCTCGTGGAGGCCTCGTCTCGTGTTCTACATTTTGTTAAATCTTGTCCCATGGGCAACGGATTTATTGACACAAACTGTTGTCGAACAGATGACCCCGTGGAGAACGGACAATTCACGTGTTTTGTTACATTCGTTTTAAAAGTCAGCGTCGTGAAACATCAACAACAACGACAAATGGCAAATGAATGAAAGAAAGAGTCGCCCATGTCTGTTGCTCGATTGTGACTGCAATGTAAGTGCGATCTGATCGGCAGGTAACCGACCCACTGCCCATCTTTTACTCGATCACACGCGGCAGGTACGGACGCCGTACCTGGAGCCACTCCTGGTGCAATAGTGTGTGTGTATCCTGCAGCGTGAGATGAGTGCTGGATACCGTCAACATTTGGAAAAATGCGATTCGTAACTTTGCATCATTACCTGTGCAGTATCGGTAGTTCAATGTTGATGTGCGCATTGTATTGAGGGACTACTGCTGTGTTGTGTTATCTTGGTGGGGTCTGGGACTGGGGTTTTTTTTGGTGTTTTTGCTGCCTTGCCCAATCTTGATGTAATTCAACAATTTTGTATCATATTTACTTTTCGTGACTTGCTTATTATTTTCTCTATTTTGCACTCATATCGTTTTATTGTTTGCTGTTGTAACTTGCTGACCCGCCCATACTGGACATCTGTGGAAAAGAGCTTCATAGCTCATCGGATTCCTCCTCCAGTCGAGGTAAAGATTTTGATTCTGAGGTTAAACCTTCAATCATTTTAATTCACAATACCTTCCCCTCATATGCAGGGGGGGGGGGGCGCTTTCTCCAGGCACTCTCCTTTCAGTCCCAGACACTTTAAACAAAAACATTGAACTGGCCAAACATCCCAATGCGCAGGAACCTCTTGAAAATGAGTCTTGAGTCTCTTTCGAAGACGTGGGGTCCAACTTGTTCCCGGCGGATGTCGGTTATATAACCGGTGCGTAGCCGTTCTCTGTCATCCACTGCCCTTGTAACCCTCCATATGCGGTCCGAACGTTGACCAAAGACAACCACGTGGTGATGATGATGATTATTATTATTATAATACATCCGTAGAGTCTCTACACATCTACTGCATGGCAACTGACTCAGTGTGGAGGCGACTGCTCGTGTTCCCCTGTCTATGTGAAGGTGCTCTCATCAGCATCATAGAAATCATCATCATCGTCGTCATCTTCATCTTCATGCTGCTGTGAAGGACGAAATCCCAAAAAATGTTGATTATTATATATTTATATACGTGACTCGACACATTCGTTAATAAAACTACCCGAAAGGGAGATGTGTATATATAGAATCCCGAGACATTGATTTTAATGTGTATGTTGTTCAACAATTATCATCGAATTGCCATATCCGTCATCATAATCATAATCTATTTCTGTATCTATCATATTCACGATTGTAACATGAGTCCAATTGTGTTTTGTTATGTTAATGAGCATTTTTGTGTGTTATGTTAATGAGCAATTGTGTGTTATGTTAATGAGCAATTGTGTGTTATGTTAATGAGCAATTGTGTGTGCTATGTTAATGAGCACTGGCGTCACCTTTGTTGACTGGAGGGTCGGAGGGGAGGGAAACGTGAACTCGAGATAAGTAAAATACCGGGATTTAGTTTCTACTTCTTGTTTCACCTTTCGCAGTCACATCTCATCCTTGCGGGGGGGATGGAGGAGAGTGTTCCAGGAGCCCAGGACACCAGTAGGCTCCACTTCCTCGCTCCCCCACACAGGCAAATAACAAAGTGGTGATCCTCCAGACCGATGGTTCTCAACCGGGAGGTACGTGGCAATGTACCCAAGCGGGGTACGTGATGTGATTCATAAACGTGTGAAAGCATACCGCGCGTGAGGGTCATTGGTTGAATAATAATCACGTATGAATCTTGGCCATATAAAATAACTACGGTACAATGTAAATCCACGTGTTAACCGAGCGCGCCGTTCAGGACATTTTGTAAACTCGTTGATGGTAAGCGATGTGGTTTCCTCGAGAAAACCACATTAAGGGTCCGTTAAATATTTCTGTTTTATTTCGCTTGCAGTTACCAGCTTCATTATCCATGTTTTTAAATCTCAGAACCACGTTGGGCGAATCGTTGCCGGGGGGCGGGTGGGGAGTAACTCGGCTGCAACTAAATTCAATAAGGGGGGGGGGGGGGTAACGGCAGTGGTTCTCAAAATACTTTTTTTACTTGGGAACCACTGCCCTCCCTAAACAAGAAAACCTCAGATTACGGCGGACGGGGCTCGCCGGCGTTGCCTGCCGCGTGTCCACCGCGTGTCCACCACGTGACCACCACGTGTGTCCACCGCGTGTCCACCACGTGACCACCGCGTGTAACCACCGCGTGACCACCGCGTGTGTCCACCGCGTGTGTCCACCGCGTGTCCACCGCGTGTCCACCACGTGACCACCGCGTGTGACCACCGCGTGACCACCGCGTGTGTCCACCGCGTGTGTCCACCACGTGACCACCGCGTGTGTCCACCGCGTGTCCACTACGTGACCACCGCGTGTGTCCACCGCGTGTCCATCACGTGACCACCGCGTGTGTCCACCGCGTGTGTCCACCGCGTGTCCACCACGTGACCACCGCGGCGGCTCGAAGGGGTCCCTGTAAGCCACGAGCGTCGCGGGCTCACACGGTCCGGGGGGGGGGGGGGGGGGTTGGGGGGGGTCGCGAAGCTTTCCCGCTCAGACCCCACCGCTCGTCCTCTAGGCCGAGCGTGATTAATCGAGACACCACCGCGCGCTGTCACTCCCTGCCATTGCTATGCCAGCTGTGTATGGCTATTTTTGAGGACAGCGGGGGGTGAGGATGTAAGGTTGGGGGGTGGGGGAGGTTGTGAGATGTCACCAATTGGGGTAGGGGGGGGGGGGGGTGTTGCTGCTGGCGGTGGTGGTGGCCTCGCGTCTCGGCCGTGCCGCGCAGAGCGTGGAGGGAACGGGGGGGTTGAGGAGGAGGAGGAGGAGGAGGCTGCGGCTAACACGGGCGGCTGCGGTAGCTCGCTTCGTAGAGATGTGACGAGGTGAGTGAGGTCCCGGCAAACGCCGCTCGTCCCAAACATTCACGGCCCTCCCCGCTGTTCACGACAGCAGCGGTGATCGCGTGCAGATGGGTCAGTTCTCGTGTTTGGCAGTGGTATGTAGAATGTGTTTTTTGTTTTGTTGTTCAAGCGGTTATCATCGGCTTGCCGTGCATTTGTATATTCGTCATCGTATTTATCATAATCACGATCGTAAGCTAAGTCCATCTCTGTAACTATATTATTCAATGTCATCATCCGTCTCCGTATCCATAATAATCTGCATTATATTATTATCATCATCATCTGTATTATCCATAGCCATAACCTTCCATCTCCATAATCATCCATTGATATGTCTCTGCATCATCATCAACATCATCTCCATATCATTATCAACTTCCATGTTTCACTTCACCATTATCACCACCTTTTCCATATCTCTCTGTAAACACTCTTCATCATTATAATTATCATTATTTTTATCATCCTTATCCATCATCGCCATCATGACCACTAGCATTAGCCCATGCATGTCATACCAAAATCACGCTATTTCATCACCCCATCGCCACATTAATACTCTGCCTCTCTAACAATAAGTAAGTCCATTTGACACGTTAACCTTTCGCGACCAGTATTATTCGTCGTTAAGTGTTTGGATCAGATCGCGTAAACGTTTCGTACACCCCGCCTCCGCCCGGCACGGCCACTTAGCAAGGCTGTCACGTGAACAGAGCGTGCCAGCCTTATGCGCCACTTGCCTGATGGTGCTGGTTGCGATCACCGGCGAAACGTCGCGATCGATTGTACATGTTCACACACCCGTGTGCTGCAGTCGTAATACATTGGCAAGTTCTGTTCAACGCGACAACCTCACTGGTTGCCCGTGTCGGGTGCAGAGGGGGGGGGGGGGGGGGGGGGGTGAGGGAGGGAGGGAGGGTGGTGTGGGGATGGACGACACATTTGCGTGATCTAACCCCAAAAAACGTTACCACGAAGTGAATTCACATTTGCGCGAGGTGGCTGTGAAGGCGGTGCCCTGGGGTGCGGGCCCACCGCGAGAGACGTCGCGGTGGGAGCTGAGGAGGAGGCGTCGGTGTTGAGTTGCGTAAGGAGCGGCCTCATCATGCCACGTAAATCACGGACAACAATATTGCGCCATCGTCGTCGTCGTCGTCCATGATTTGTGTTGTTTAGCGTCATTGTTGTGTCGTGTTGTTTACCGTCACTGTTGTGTCGTGTTGTTTACCGTCATTGTTGTGTCGTGTTGTTTACCGTCATTGTTGTGTCGTGTTGTTTACCGTCATTGTTGTGTCGTGTTGTTTACCGTCACTGTTGTGTCGTGTTGTTTAGCGTCATTGTTGTGTCGTGTTGTTTACCGTCATTGTTGTGTCGTGTTGTTTACCGTCATTGTTGTGTCGTTTTGTTTACCGTCACTGTTGTGTCGTGTTGTTTAGCGTCATTGTTGTGTCGTGTTGTTTACCGTCATTGTTGTGTCGTGTTGTTTACCGTCATTGTTGTGTCGTGTTGTTTACCGTCATTGTTGTGTCGTGTTGTTTATCGTCATTGTTGTGTCGTGTTGTTTACCGTCACTGTTGTGTCGTGTTGTTTACCGTCACTGTTGTGTCGTGTTGTTTACCGTCATTGTTGTGTCGTGTTGTTTACCGTCACTGTTGTGTCGTGTTGTTTACCGTCACTGTTGTGTCGTGTTGTTTAGCGTCATTGTTGTGTCGTGTTGTTTACCGTCATTGTTGTGTCGTGTTGTTTACCGTCACTGTTGTGTCGTGTTGTTTACCGTCACTGTTGTGTCGTGTTGTTTAGCGTCATTGTTGTGTCGTGTTGTTTACCGTCATTGTTGTGTCGTGTTGTTTACCGTCACTGTTGTGTCGTGTTGTTTACCGTCACTGTTGTGTCGTGTTGTTTACCGTCATTGTTGTGTCGTGTTGTTTACCGTCACTGTTGTGTCGTGTTGTTTACCGTCACTGTTGTGTCGTGTTGTTTACCGTCATTGTTGTGTCGTGTTGTTTACCGTCATTGTTGTGTCGTGTTGTTTACCGTCATTGTTGTGTCGTGTTGTTTACCGTCATTGTTGTGTCGTGTTGTTTACCGTCATTGTTGTGTCGTGTTGTTTACCGTCATTGTTGTGTCGTGTTGTTTACCATCATTGTTGTGTCGTGTTGTTTAGCGTCATTGTTGTGTCGTGTTGTTTACCGTCATTGTTGTGTTGCGCCGTTTCGTTACAAGGCAGGGCTGGTGAGTGTAGTGAGTGGTGAGTGTGGTGCGTGGTGAGTGTAGTGTGTGGTGAGTGTAGTGCGTGGTGAGTGTAGTGTGTGGTGAGTGTAGTGTGTGGTGAGTGTGGTGTGTGGTGATTGTAGTGCGTGGTGAGTATAGTGCGTGGTGAGAGTAGTGTGTGGTGAGTGTGGTACGTGGTGAGTGTAGTGCGTGGTGAGTGTGGTGCGTGGTGAGTGTAGTGCGTGGTGAGTATAGTGAGTGTAGTGTGTGGTGAGTGTGGTGCGTGGTGAGTGTAGTGCGTGGTGAGTGTGGTGCGTGGTGAGTGTAGTGCGTGGTGAGTATAGTGAGTGTAGTGTGTGGTGAGTGTGGTGTGTGGTGAGTGTGGTGTGTGGTGAGTGTAGTGTGTGGTGAGTGTGGTGCGTGGTGAGTGTAGTGCGTGGTAAGAGTGGCGCGTGGTGAGTGTGGTGTGTGGTGAGTATAGTGAGTGGTGAGTGTAGTGCGTGGTGAGTATAGTGTGTGGTGTGTATAGTGCGTGGTAAGTGTAGTGTGTGGTGAGTGTAGTGCGTGGTGAGTGTAGTGCGTGGTGAGTATAGTGAGTGTAGTGTGTGGTGAGTGTGGTGTGTGGTGAGTGTGGTGCGTGGTGAGTGTAGTGCGTGGTGAGTGTGGTGCGTGGTGAGTGTGGTGCGTGGTGAGTGTAGTGCGTGGTAAGTGTAGTGCGTGGTGAGTGTAGTGCGTGGTGAGTGTAGTGTGTGGTGAGTGTTTGCCGGTGCAGTGTAATGTTTTCCAGGGGGCTTTTGTTCTTAGTTTTCTGGCAAAATATTTCTCAAAGTTAGAAGTGATTTAATGTGAATGTAAAAGATTATACTCGTCATCGAATCACCCAGAATACCACATACATGGAAAGCTAAGCAGGGTAAGGGACTAGTTACCTCCTGCATGAAAGACTCTCTGGTAATACCAGGTCGAACGGGGGTTGAAAATGCCAATTGGCCAGGAGATCCTTGAATCCATCTGTGTGCAGCGCTGCGTGTTGCTCCCTCGTATGCTTGGGGTTTGTCTGGTTACTCTGGATTCCTCTCACGTGGAGGCAAGCACCCATTGATGACATTGGCCAAACATCCAAGCACAGGAGCCACTTTCAGCCTACATTGCTCTTCCGGACTCGTGCTAATCGGCAGCATTTCTTTTTTGCAAGCAAACTCTGGACCAGTTGCAACCTTCTGGATCCCATCAGCGCTCGGTCTCCTTAAACAGACACTGCCGGCTTGCCAGCTGTTTGTTAGCAAAGGTACTGCCATCTTCAAGACGGAGCCCTCCCTGTTCGACGTAAAAGGACGTCCCATGATGTAGATGCTCACCCCGAGCTCTCATTACTCTGACAGTGGAATTGTCTTTTTGCTGTGTGCGCCTTTTGGCGTCATCTGGTCTTAACACCGTTTTGAGACGAGGCTCAAAAGAAAGCTGTCTCTGGTGTGGTCCAATTAGTTTCAAGGACAATGCATATATTATCAGAGTGTGTTTTTGTTTGCATATTGTGGTTAATGCAGACAGGATTCCTCGTAAAAAGGTTTCAGTATTGTTGCCAGGAAAAAGGGGAAAACCCCTATTATTATATTTTGGTACTTGCAAAGGAGGTCTAAGGATGCTTTATTTAGTTTGTTTGTTAAGGAATCACACTTGCTGAGCACAGGTCCGAAGGCGCAAAGAGACAGGCGGGTCAGCTACAGGCAGCAGAGTTGCAAGAGAACGAAGTTTACTTGAATCGAGCAAAGGGGGTTACTCGAACTTGGGATAAGAGGCGATGATGGCAAGAGGGAATCCCAAAGTGGAGCAGTGCGAGGGAGGACGCGGACAGAGAAGTGTGGTGACCTTGCAGTGTTGGTGGTGGTTGAACACAAGTGCGGATTGTGTGTACGTTGTGTGCATGTTGTGTGTATGTACGGTGAAAGACAACAAACTAACACACACACAAAATACAGTCAATCAATCTGAAATTATAATTACACTCTGACTGCATTGCATAATAAATTACGCAATCGCGATTTAAATTGACCCCAGGGTTACCGATGATTGCTCAACATTTTCTTCTGAGACAAGTAGTTTAGTTTGCTTCATGCGGTCGCGCCGAGCTCAGAGGACTAAACACGGACAAATGGAACGGACGAGTGACACGAGGCGAACTGCGATCGCCGGATTCCGCTGGTCTCGCTTACGCCACCGCCAAAAAGATAAAGATCCCCCGTATAGCCTTAACAGACTGTCGGGGCAAGTGCTGTTAGCGAGCGCCTATGAAGACTGGCACGGCTCACGAGGGGGTGGGTGGCCAGCACCACGCCCGGTCGCCTTTGTCTCTCCAGTGGCGATGTTTACTACACACCGCGCCAGGTACTCGTTTGAGGCTGAGTCGACCTGGTGGAGGCCCAGGACCGACTCAGATAATCGTCACCGGTGTTGGTCGTGAGCGGGAATGGAACTCGGGTCGCCATAGTGCAGCGCGCTAACCGCTACACTACCGCTACACTACCGCTACACTACCGCTACACTACCGCTACACTACCGCTACACTACCGCTACACTACCGCTACACTACCGCTACACTACCGCTACACTACCGCTACACTACCGCTACACTACCGCTACACTACCGCTACACTACCGCTACCAACCACGGTTTCCTCGGCTTCTCGGTCGAAAAATCCAGACGAGGCCAGAACGCTGGAGACTAAACGCCCGTCGTTTCAAATCATTTCCTGCTGCGGAACGGCAAGACACAAACTGATCACAACAATGTCCCCCCCCACCCCCGCGCCCTTCGAAACTAACGGCGACGAGGGTAACAAAGGGAATGCGCTTGAAGCAGATCGAGAGAAAATACCGCGCCTTAAATAGACGAAGCTCTGAGCCGCCGGGGCTGCCCTTCGCCGGTACGTTATGGGCGTCTCGAAAAGGCAACGGTTTATTTCATCCGACGGCCGCGGAGATGAAGCGACGAGATAAGTTTGCGCACATGGATGGGCGTCATCGCAGGACCGTGTTAGGTTGGTGGCGGCGTAGGAGCGGGAGGTCTTCATCCAGCAGTGGATAACCAATGATGCTGATGGTGGATGTTGACTTGCGTTGAGCAGGAACAACAGGCAACACATTTCTTTTTTTGTAGAATAGAAAAACTAATTCTAAAGATCAGATGCGCCTTAAAAAAATCTAGGATGGAACGCCGCCACTCCACTGAAGGGTCAATGAATTGTCACGATTCAGGGTCTGGTTTTGACTGAATCCGGGATTGTTGTTTACATTGCGGTGAATGGTAATGCCTCACCTCCAGTGGCCGTGGGGGGTGACGTGAAGCCGTGACATGACACGCGTCTGAGTCGAGAATGAAGATTGATATTCACGCGTAAATCGACGCATGTATCATGAACTTTTAATCACCGATATTAATTGACAAATCAATGCATCGATGCACTGTTCCGCCCATACTTAATGTGTGTACGGAAACGAAAGAAATGAATAATTTTCGGAAATTTTAAGCAAATGAAATTTGTTGTTGTTGTAAATCTACGAAATGTATCTGTGCTAGTATTGCGTCTCTTTGTTAAACACAAACGGGCGCCCCGGTACGAACCAGGTGACCCTAGTTCGTTCCCGGCCACGGCTAACATCAGTGGCAAGTGATATGGGACGGAAGCTGTCCTGTACTGCCATGCCACCCCCCACCCCTTCACCAACCTGCATTGACCAGTGTGGTGAAATATGATTAGAACTCTCCAATGATGGGCATGATGTGGGGATTTGAGAATAGCTCGCTGTAACGTGTGAATTATGTAATTAATTTCCAAAACATGTATGTTCTTATGTATGTACATTAGCAAAACAACAACAGGCTTTACATGTACAATACCTACATGCGTTAAATTTCGGGCTTAAACACATTCCCTCTATTTTAGAGCACAGTGAGTGGTTGCCTCTTACAAATTTTGCGCGTGAACATGGTCATTCCAATATATTTAATCACGTAAAAAAAATATATTTTTTTTATGAACGTAACGTTGTCTTTAATCGTACAAGCATTCTAAAGCTGCAACCTTCCAGCAAAAAAAATGCGATGTAGATGGCAGATCAATACGTCGGTCGACTAACGAAATGTTGTTGTTGTTGTTGTTTGTGTTTGTTCTAAGGTTCACTGGACGTCCCCGTCCAGCGCGACGGGCTGCGCCCGTGCGTCGTGGCAGAACGTGGGCACGTTGCATAAAATATTTTTTTCTTCATTTTTAATCGAGAGATCATCGCAGCCAAACACGCCTGATGGCACCGCATTGCACCGTCGCTTCCTTGCCCTAGATCCGCGCAACTTTTTTTTGTCGTCAACGGTTGACACGGAAAGTCGCGTCGACCAAGCATCCCGTTTTGGAAACATTCAAAGGCGGCGTTCAACACAGAGGGGGCGTGTGCAGACCAGCAGGATGCCCGTGAAGGCCCCCATGTACCTAAAACCCGGCCGCACGAGCAAGGGCAAGAAGGCCGCGAGGCTCAGGGACATCCTCTCGGGAGATATGATCAGCCCTCCGCTGGGCGACTTCCGCCACGTGGCGCACGTGGGCAGCTCGGGCGGCATGGGCGAGAGAGCCGCCGCCTTCGGAGACCTCTCGTTCCTGTGGAGCGAGCGTCGCGCGTCCCGCGACGAGGACGGCGTCCTCCAGCGAGCCGAGCGACGCCGTGCGGTGCCGGAGGCCCGGCTGGACCGAGACCTCGCGTCGGGCCCCGGCCACCAGGCGGCACGCGGCACGACCTGCTTTGCCACCGGCGTCGGGATCCCGTCGCCCGTGCTGAGGAACGCGTTCGTGCTGCCCTACACGGGTCCCGAGCAGGCGCTGGTGCTGCCGGGGGTGTCGCCGTTCTGCCCAGGCGGCGCGGGGCCGCCCCGCCGGCGCCCCGAGCCGCCGGCCGACACCGAGGGCGGCGCGGGGGACGACGCGAACGGCGAGGGCGCGTGCGGCCGCGAAGACGTCGCCGGAGCCGGGACGTCGCGATCGACGAGCGGCGGAGTCGTGCGGGCGGCGGCGTCGCCTCCGCCCCGAGTGAACCGACTCGCGTGCCCCGACGCCAAGGGTCCGTGCACGAGTCCCAGCCCCAAGAGGGGGCTCCTTCGGTCCATCAGGGATCAGGTGCAAAACATCACGCTCAGCCCGCCGCTCTCCAGGAGTCGCAACTTCCAGTCGGTGCACGCGTGTGAGACGTCGTCTCAGGAGCCCTTGCTGTTGTCCAGCAATGACATGCACCGTGAGGAGGAGCAGGAGGAGGGCGGGGAGGAGGGCTCCAGCCGGGCGTTCCGCTTCATGTCCTTCTCCGGCAACGGGTTTTCTCATCGGCGATTGACCGGCGTGACGGCTTCGTGTGGGAAGCCCCAGCAACCCAAAGCCACGGCGCGGGCCGCTGCCGGCCAGCTCAGCACCGGGCCCGAGTGGACGAATCCTCGCCTCCCGTCCCGTGAAGGCTGTGCTCGAAACGGCTTTGCGAGCACCGTCGACCACGAGCAACCGGGCTGCCTGTGGCCCAGAACTCCGGAGCGTGTGGCCGTCACGGAATCGATGCATTTCCTCAGGAGCAGGCAGACCCTCCACCCGCGATCCAAGCGCAGGGACATGCTCGCCAAGAGCAGGCGGGAGAACGGCGACGAACACCGGCAGGCGACCGCCGCCGCCGCGTGCCCGTCGCACCCCACGGCGGACAATCCACGGCCTGGCGCGTGGCCGGACAACTCGAAATCGCCGCCCACGCCGAGTCCCTCCGTGTCCCCGCCGCCACCACCGCCACCGCCGCCGCCACCTCAGAGGTCACAGAGAGGTGACCTCCAAGCGAGAGGTGCTGGCGGCCGTGGAGAGTGGGCCGAGTTCAGCACCCTCGCCCGGACGCGGTGGCCACCGGGCGAACCGCACGGCGCAGCGAGTCGCTGCGACAGCAGCGAGTCGCTGCTGTCTCTGCACACGGACCTGGGGCCGTCCATGCTGGACGACGTCCTCGGGGTCATGGAGAGGCAGGAGGGGCGTGGGCCCAGGAGGGCCTCCGCGCGGTACGCGAAGCCCGACGGCACGCTGGGCAAGGGGGCGACGGCGATCACCGGCGGCTCGGAGCATGGAGTCAGGGGTGCTGAGAGGGACAGCGGCGTCGCCTGCGAGGCTTCGGCCAGCGCCGAGAACCTGCTCCGTCATTTCTCGCCCAAGTAGCCAACGTCGCACACGTTTGCCGCCGTCAAACAAACATCCTGTGACTGCCAAAAGTGCCCCCAATACACTCGAGGCTGAGCGTTGGTGAGAACATTTGTTACGAAACAAAAAAAAAGTTGGAGCGAACGACACGTTAGCGTCCTCTCGTGCCACCACCATCACGATCACCGGCCACGGTCAATCAACTGCTGGATGGAGGCCTCCTCAAGCCGTCGCCACCTCTCCCGGTCCTGCGATTAGAATGATCACCCGATGTCCTGCAGCACGAACCGAGCTCATCAGACTTCATACACGTGCCATCATAATTGCTATAATTGCCAGAACACCGTTCGATTGATCCGGAAGATTCAACAGCTACTCTCCGGCAACGGGGTTACGATGATAATGACGACGACGACGATGATTGATGATGAGCATTGATAACGAAGATTATGATTTGGTTTTGATTCCGTCGTGACAGATATCACCGGCGAAAGAAAAGCCGTAAAGAATGTCGCGTGCCAATACCTGCACGCGGATCCATCGCGGTGCTCTGAACAAGGGCCGCGACCTGAAACGTCAGCCTATGACACAGCTCTGCGTTGTCAGGCAGCGTTAATGACGAATGCGGCGATTGGTTTATTTCCGCAGCGGCTTTCCCGTGTTGTGAGCGTTCAAGTAACGGGGCAGCCCCCCTGCTGTGACTTGGTCACGACACCGCTGGCAGATCGACCGCTCGATAACGGCTGCCGAGGGTGGGAGTATCCCACGCGTTACCCCCACCACACGCAACCTGCCGATCGACTGTGCTTGTACCCATTTCTGCTGCCGGGTGGACAGGCCATGTGGAGGGAGGGGGAGGGGCTGGGGGGGGGTATTTACAAATCTTGGCTATTGCGTTGTGAATGAAAATTCAAGCGAATTCGTGACTGCCACCCCCTCTTTCAACCAAAAGGCAAAAATCCCCCGTGTAGCCTTACCAGACCGGTGGGGGCAAGTGCTGTTAGCGAGCACCTATGAAGGCCGGCACGGCACACGAGGGCGTGGGTGACCAGCGCCACGCGTGACCGCCTTTGTCTCCCGAGTGGCGATGCTCACACACACACACACACCGCACCAGGTACTCATTTGAGGCTGAGCCGACCTAGGGGAGGCCCAGGAATCGATTCGGGAATCGCCGAGTACGTATCGCAGCGTAGCGCTCGTCGTTGCACTTACCGCTCCACCCACACTGCCATCGGCATCCCCGCCGCCACCCCCTTCACAGGAGACTCGCTGTGCGACTGCACTCGTCGAGAGGCGAAATGCACTGCGCGCACGTGCCCTGCTGGGTACAGGTGGTGGAATATTTACGCGGAATATCTTGCATGTTCTACGCGACGCCTGATAAGGAATCATTTTTTTTTAGTATTATTATCATTATTTCAAAATGCGCTTTTTTTAATGCAGCAAAGTACCGTACTTCAGAGTCTTAAGGCTCATTTTTTTTTTTTAAGAGAGTCTTTGCTACAGTGGGAAGTTTGTCCAGTTTCTTTATTCATTGAGTGTTTTGACTTCGTGCGGGAGGAAACCGGAGGAACCCGGGGGGGGGGGGGGATGGGGGGACCCAGCAAGATGTAGGAGTCAGTAGCTTGACGTGCAAAACTCCGCACATGTGGATGCATTAAACAGTCGCACTTCTGCTATCTCGTCGATACGAAACCTACATCGCCCGGCATTCCCGGCAGTCCCTCTCTCTTTAAATTACAAACCTGCCGCCCTTATACAATCTGCCGAGATCATGCACGGTTCAGGGTAATATGGGCTTAATTTCAGAATTGTGACTCCCAGTGCTTAGTTTATCACGAGATATGTTGCGGAACGCAGCTGGGCTGGGTTTCGAGGAGGGATTAACAGCGAAGGGCGCTGCCACTAGACCTACAAAGGTACGCCTATTAACTGTAATAATATATGATTGTCCCGGTATCGATTGAAAAAATAATATGTAGGAAGAAAACATAAGGATGTCGTTTTCCAAAATAAGATGAGAAGGACGTCGAGTGGCAACAATTCTCGGAGCAGCGTTCCGGATTCGTCTGGCTGATATTAATCGCTGGTTACCACCCCTTCCTTCACCACCATAAAACAAAAGACAAAGATCCCCCTTATAACCTGAACATACTGTTGGGACAAGTGCTGTTAGCGAGCAGCACCTATGAAGGCCTGCACGGCACGCGAAGGGGTGAGTGGTTAGTCAGCACCACGCCCGGCCGCATTTGTTTCCCTAGTGGCGATGTTTTACACACCAGAACCAGGTACCAATTTGAGGTTGAGTCGACCTAGGGGAGGTCCACGAACTGTTCAGATAATCGTCACTGGTGGTGGCCCAAAGCGGGAATACGAACTCGGGGTCGCCGGGTTCGTAGCGCAGCACGCAACCCGTCACCACCACCACCATCAATACCAACAACCACCATTCGCCACCAAGTGACGGCGACGTCACCACTGCGCCTGTGCCAGGCCAGGTGCACTTCGAGGCCACGTGAAGTGTCAGAGGCTCGCTGACAGCAGCAGGTCTCGGGACAGAACCAGATGCCATGGGTTTGGCTGACTGAGATGACCGGTAGATGCACACCAGCTGTACTCCCCCCTACTGTGATAGCGGTGGTTGGCACCGCCACTATGACCTACTACCACCACAATCTCTACCGCCTCGACTATGAACCACGTGGCTCGAGTCACGCTCGCGTCCGTCCCACCGCTCCCTCGTGAGACCCGCGCTGCGGGCAGGCGAGCTGGGCCAGGGTACCGCGCGGTGTCGAGCATCATCCGTGACTCCACACAACAACAACAACAACAAAAACACCCACGTGGCTTAGTCCATCGATCCCCAATCGGGTTTCCAGACCGATATTACCCAGCAGCATGTTCTTATGCCAAGCAAACTCTGGGACCGGTTCGTACCCGTCTGGGCCTCATCGGCAGAGTCAGGATTTGCTGAGCTTCTGCTGAAATGTGTCGGTTCGAGGTGTAACGGTTTCATCAACCCTGCCCCCAAAACCTCCGCCCCCCTCCACCACTACCCCACCTCCTCCGCAGCCCCCCCCCTCTGCCCGTAATACCTCGACCCCCCACTACTTCCCAGCACTTCGATCCCTTTCGATTCTAGAACCGAATCGGCTTTGTTTCTAGTTTTTTTTGTCTGCCTCGTTTGTACACGCTTTTTCCCCCATTCTCGATCCAATTAGCCTAACGTTCCGCGAGGTAATGAGCGCTCTGAATACAAAACGAACGTTGAATTAAAACAAACGCGCGACTCGATGCGCGTATTGTGAAGTCGGAAGGATCCGCGACACGGTCAGCGCTCGATGCAGAGGCTCGCGGTTTGAATTCCAGCGACCGCCCTGGTCAATACTGCAGGCGGTGTACGTTAGAGATCCAGTGGCGTCAATCGCAAGCGAAGGCCATTCGTGTGCCGGCGTCACGCTCAAACATTTGTCGGATTTGAAAACGTTTGCACCGCGAACAACTTGGGTGGGATTCATACATCGCAAACGCCGCCTCCCGTCTACTGCGAAAACTTGGCAAAGACCCCGTTGGCGAGGAGTCCTGAGACTCGGCGAGGCTCTTCCTGAGTAAACAAGAATAGATAAATAAATACAAATGTTGATGCATCGTTGCACCGCTCGTGCTGTCGGGGAGAGTTTGTAATGTCACGCGAGCGTTCATTCTGAAATGTTCGGCTGCGTTTTGAACTCGTTCCAAAACCGCTGCATTCTGTCACTTCAAAGATGTTCTCATTCTATGTCCTCACTGTGAGGAATCTGGTCGCAATGTGGTAAATAATTAAAAGTCCGCAACATATTAGTACATCATCTCGGTGTCTCGCATTCATCCCTCGACAGTTCAGTTCGCATTCGCGAGAATTGGACTACGCGTGCGGTGGAGGTAACGGCGCAGCCCTGCAATGCCTCTGCTCACGCCGCTGCTGGCGGAAGGGGCCCTCCACTAGAGGGAATTCGAGAGAGCCCCTTTACTGCAGGGTATTTTGGCATATTCTTACACGCTGGCCAGTACCCACACTTGACCCCATCACACGCGACCTGTCAACCATAGATTAACTATGATGGACACATTTACACTGCTGCATGCACAGAGGCGCGTGTGTGTGTAGGGGTCACAGTCATCTCAGTCAGCCAACCCATGGTACCTGGCTCTGGCGCGTGGCCTGCCAGCGAGCCTTCGACACTTCACGTGGCCTCCAAGTGCACTTGGCATGCCACAAACGCCGTGGGGACGTCACCGCCACTTGGTGATGAATTGCGGTTGTTGTTGTTGTTTGGGGGTGTATTTAACAAACTTGTTTATTGCTTCCACTGCCGCGCCCGGAGATCGAATGGAGCCGGCGGCGACGTCGATATTGTAACATTGTCAGGCGCCGTTGGCAAGAGCCAATGCCAGGTTCGACAGCCTCGCCACCCAGGCCAATGCCGCTCACATCCTCGGCTATGGGGAACCACTTCTGCGTGGTGCGCGATGTTTTGTTGATGTTGTTGTGTTTGTTGTTGTTGCTGCTGCTGCTTCGCGTGCTCCTGTACGGCTGACGTGAGCCTCTCCAACCGGGCTCGCTTCATATGCTAAAAAGTGACAGCGATATGGCGAAGGTTCGTTGCCTTGCTAACCAAACATAAATAATGTGGAGCGAAACAAAATTAACTTGGATGTATTTTCTTACACAAAGGCAGAATCATAACAATTATCAATCGTCGTTGCCTCAACTTCCTCTGCTTTCTTCTTTATTTGTTTTTATATATTTTGTCATGGTTTTCTTTCTGCGGCAAACACACAAAGACAAAGATTCCCCGTTCTGCCTTAACAGACTGTTGGGGCAAGTGCTGCTAAAGAGCACATTTGAAGAAGGCCCGCACGGCACACGAGGGGGTGGGTGGCCAGCACCACAGACACACAGACACATTCACAAACACACACGCGCACAAACACACGGCCAGACGCGCACACAGACACGCAAAGATGACAAAGATCCCCCGTGTAGCCTTAACAGACTGTTGGGGCAAGTGCTGTTAGCGAGCACCTATGAAGGCCAGAACGGTACACTAGGGGTGGGTGACAAACATGCTATCCCAACCGCCTTTGTCTCCCCAGTGGCGATGTTTTAACGCACCGCACCAGATAATAATTTGAGGCTGAGTCAACCTAGGGGAAGCTAAGGACCAGTTCTGATAATCGTCACTGGTGTTGGCCGTGACCGGGAATCGAACACGGGTTGCCAGGTTCGTAGCGCAGCGTTGCGCTAACCATTACACTACGGCTCCCCACACACAGACGCACGCGCACACAGACGCACGCGCACACACACAGAAACACACGCGCACAGACACACAAACGCACACAGACACACGCGTACACACATGCGCACACACGCACGCACATCTCTCTCACTCTGTCCTGACATCTCACGGTTTACTCAGCTCTGATTAATTTTCTGCTGTCAAGTCACTGAGGCCTGAGGCCATCTGCGAGCTCCGAACCACCATCCATCCTCCTCCCGTCGCCACCACCGTCTTCCCGCGACCCCATCCCTCCCTTCCCCCCGCCTCCTCCTCGGGATTAACCGCGACACATCTCCAATGACCGCCGTTGATTTCCTCAATCCAAGCGAACGTACCCCACGTTAAACACTTTAACCCGTGATGCTGCTGCTCGGCTCACAGCGGTGCACTCGTAAAAATAAAAACGAGGAAAACATTGTGAATAACAGTGTCTGAAAGGAACAATGCATAACGTTTTGCGCAATGGCCCTTCTTCATAGGACCAGAGTGATTGATCATTACCTGGAAC